AAGCACAGCGTCTGCTGGATGCACCACAGACACTCCTCACCCATGTCACTCTTCCGGGCGTGGAATGCCAGCCTTGGCAATGGCAGCTGTTGCGTGGTCCTGGGTGGAGAAGATATTGCAGCTGGAACACTGCACCTCACCACCCAGACCGACGTGGGTCTCACTGAGGACAGCTGTCTCCACGGTCATGGGCAGGCGGACAGCAACATGGCCCCCTTCAGTGACTCGGAGGCGGAAGACATCTCCTGCACGTATATCAGGCGTGGCATCTCATTCTCTGTGAGGCCCAGGGCTTTGTGTCCCCAGGCAGCCAGGCTGAAGTCAGTGGCTTTGTAAAGCAGCTTGTTGGACATGCTGGCAGCATTTCTGTTTCTGCAAGGAGCGGTGAATGCCGGCAAAGGGGGCTGGACCTCAGTCTGGGAACAAGAGCTGGCAGGGCAGCACCGTGCAGGGTGAGAACAGACTTTTTTAGGTAACATTATAAATGTTGGTCGTTTTGCTCAAGTGGTTGTCTTGCTGGTCGTCTTGCTCAAGTGGAAGGGGATACTTGAATGTGTATATATGAGAGAATATAAAAAATAAACAAGCTGCAAGGATATATTGTGCAGCACAGGGGATATAGCCAATGTCTTATAATAACTTTAAATGGAGTGTAATTTATTTAAAAAATGGAATCACTATGTTTTACACCCAAAACCAATAATCAACTATACATCATTGAAAAAAAAACCCAAAGAGTTCCCTGGCAGTTCAGTGGTTAGGACTCTGAGTTCATACTGCGAGGGCATAGGTTCAATCCCTGGTTGAGGAACTAAGATCCCATATGCAATGCATGGTGTGACAAAGAAAGCAAACAAACAAACAGAAAAGTTCCTAAATAGAACAAAGGAAATAACACACAATGGAATCCAGCAAGTATGTGATTCTGTTAAGGCCAAATGGAATCTAAATCTGAGTCAGGATGTTGGCCAATAGGTGAGAATGCTGGAGTTCAGGTTCCTGCTCAACTGAGACTGGACAATCAAAACCAGACTCTACTGGGGGCAGGGGGGTGGAAGGGAGACCGCAGGGCAGGAAGGACGGCGAGAGGAGGTGGGAATGTGACCGCTGGAGAAGCAGCAGCCCAAAGATGAAGCGGCCGACTGAGCTCCATGTATAATATACGCTTGATTGGACTCAGGTAAAGGCACTGAATTTGAAGAAACTAAACTTCTTGAGGTTCCCAATGACTGGGGGCACAGACTGACAGGAGGAAAGAACTCAGTCATTGCCGACATAGAAACACCTCCAGCAGGCACTGAATGACCTCCTGGAACCATCTCTGCTATCCCCTGTCTGCAGTCACTGTCTCCGTGACTTTGGTATCCTATTCTATTCCCTGGGGTGTTCATTTTTACGTCATGCAAACATTCTTTCGTGGTCATGTGCCCTGGACCCTTTGTGGAGTGGATTGGAGTAGGAGTGGATAGAAGACAGACAGTGTGCAGGAAGTGAGAAAGGACTTTGTGATTATACAGTCTTTTAAATTCTAGAAATTAGAGTCGGGGGGGATAAAATCAGCAGAATTATGACTCTAGTTTTCCTATTTACATTTAATAGGAGTTTCCCTGATCACATAATATATGAACTTCTAGAATAATACCATAATATGTTTGTTATACAAAAGAAATTTTTATCCAAACTACATATATCACTATGTAAACTCCTTTAGAAATGGAAAGAATTCTGACTCAAGTTTATCAGCTTTAATGCTGTTAAGTGAAAATACGTAAGTGTCACAGCTGAATAAATATTCAAGAAAAACAATGAATGCTTTAGGTAGGCAACGAATAACAAGCCATGGGTCAGCCAAGTTCTGTTTTAGTACTTTTCATCTCTATTGTGAATTGAAAAGGGGAAGAAATGCCCTCAGTAAAATTCAGAAATCCTATCATCAAGCAAAAATTCTCTTTATTGCTAAGTTACAGGTAGAAATTCACTTTAAAAAATGCTGTGGCCAGTTGTTAACACAGAATTACCATCTACAAATACAGTTCTTTAAACACAACAGATTGTCATTACTCAGCAGGTTCATTAATCACAATTCAGCTTGCTATCAGGAGTGAAAATTACTGGTGTTATTAAATTTCCACCCCATTACCTTGAATTTTATTTAGAAACATTAATCAGCAATCTCCTCCTTCATTAGAAGTCACAAGTTAACCAAGCCAAAAAAAAAAAAAAGTCATCAAAGAAGCACACTTTGATGATATCTTGGAAATGTAAATACTTAATGCAATTTGATTAATTCACAAAGTCTCTTAAGCATTACAGTAATCTACTCTAGACAATTCTCAAGCCTTTGCTTCAGTTGTTACCTATGGACATTTCAAAAAGTGCTTGAGAAAAAAACAGAACTCTTGACATAGTAGATTTCTAGTAATTGGGCTCAACCTGTCCTCTGACAATTACTCCTTCAGTTGTCTTTGTTTTTGTTTTTTTGCTAGTCCCCCAATACCCTCTGTTAAAAGAAGTATAATTCACTGCCTTAAAGAAAAGCTGCAGGTTTCATCTTAGTACCTTCTGGTCTAAGGAAGCCACTTCCCATCTGTCCACAGGAAAAGTTCTGGGTACCATACCCAGAACTGGTTCTCAGACAGATGTTCTCCAAGATAAATTAAGATCTTAACTGATATTAACCAATCAACAAATGTTTATCAATTACTGCTCATAGGAACTGAGATAGCCCATTAAAGAAAACAGAGTATAAGAAGATTGAGTCCTCCACAGCTTTACCCTCTAGATATCTATAGTATATGTATTCATAGGACAAGCTAATACAGAACAGCAGATTGTTGGTGCTAAATGAATGTGCTAGGTAGGAACTATCAGAATGAATGTCTGAATGTCTTACTCCTGACTACAGAGATGAGAAAATTTGGTCATCCCCTCAGAGCAGGAGTGAGATATGCAGTGAAAAGTAGGGGAGGGAAATCAAAGGGTCCAGAGAGATGTATTTGAAAGCAAAGCGAAATCTGCAATAAATATTGGGTTGGCCCAAAATTTCATTTGGGTTTTCCCATAAGATGCTATGGAAAAGCTTGAACTAACAGTTTGACCAACCCAATATAAATATATTTTTGTGTATGGTGTAAAGGTAACAAATTTCAAGTATAAATATTAATCTTGACTTCACACATTTTGACAGTATTCATTCAAAACGCTGAAGCACACTCAGGTAATCCAGGGCTGATTGTTTGGTTACATGAAGAACCATGGGAAACACAGTCATGACTGACCCTAGTAGGATCACCATCGACATGCAGACTGTACCTTCAGGTTAACTGCCTCCAATAATCTTTCCCAGTCAAATCAATTGTAAATTGCCATTATTTGAAATGAGAGAGTTGTACTGACTGACGCTTCTCAGATTAATAGATCTGGGAGGTCTGGAAATATTTTCATTTGAGAAATGTGGTCAATTTTTCTATACCTTCAGCTCAGTTCAGTTCAGTCGCTGTCATGTCTGACTTTGTGACCCCATTAACTGCAGCACACCAGGCNTTACAGAAAGTACAGAAGGCATTTGTTGTTATTGCTGGTGTTCAGTCACTAAGTCCTGTCTGACTCTTGGTGACAGAAGGCATATTGATGCTATTTTGGGGCTACCAGTGTCCTGAGGTGTGTTTTTTTGGTATTCTAAGCTCAGGATGTTGGGGGTAATTTAATGAATGTGTGAATACATGCTGAAGTTTAAGGGAAAAAAAGAGGGAGTAGCTGAATAAATCCATGACTTTCTGAAAGGGACAACAGTCGATTTTGTCTGACCAGCATCTTTTTCCCCTTCCATTAACGATTGAAGGCAGTAACACTTAACTCTTCATCTGTGTTATCACCTTGTGCTCATCCCACATAGTACTGTGCAGTTATCAATCAAATAGCTTGCTCCCTCTCCCCGAGGTAAACTCTAGAAGAAATCTGAATTTTGCTAGGAGGGACAAAGACTAAAATGACTGGAGTTGCTCAATCCACTGTCAGTGTCCTAGAAAAGACTCTACTTGAAGTCTCTGAATGCTGTCCTGATGGACTTTCCTTTCCTGAGGTATGAGCAGCAAAATCTTTCTGCATACTAAAAACTATTTAATTTTTTTTTTTTAAAGCTAGAGCTGATTTTTGTGACTTACAGCCAAAGGGAATTAGTGCATTCACTTTACCTCCGTTACAACTTCCAAGCATATCAAGTAAAAATTATTTTTGCTTTTAAGCCAGGGATGAACTAGACATGTTTGGAGGCAGGAGAAGAAGGTGTTGAAGAAAAGGACAGCAGGGCTGACTTCTGGGCATGTGACCTGTGTTCTGCTGTTATTGTCTTGAAATTCTTACTATTTTTTTTGAAACAGGACCTTGCATTTTCATTTTGCATTGCTGCTGTTGCTGCTGCTGCTAAGCCACTTCAGTCGTGTCCGACTCTGTGCGACCCCACAGACAGCAGACCACCAGGCTCCGCTGTCCCTGGGATTCTCCAGGCAAGAACGCTGGAGTTGGTTGTCATTTCCTTCTCCAATGCATGAAAGTGAAAAGTGAAAGTGAAGTCGCTCAGTTGTGTCCGACTCTTAGCGACCCCATGGACTGTAGCCCACCAGACCCCTCCGTCCATGGGATTTTCCAGGCAAGAATACTGGAGTGGCTTGCCATTGCCTTCTCCATCATTTTGCACTAGGCCCAGCCAATTATGAAAGTGCTTCATTTGATATAAAGCACTATGTGAAGGCTTATTAATGCCCCCCCAAAGATGCTCACACCCTAATCTCCAGGTCCTGTTAAGTATGTTATCCTATGCGGCAAAAAGGACTTTGCAAATGTGATTATGTTAAGGATTTTGAGTTGGGAAGATTATTTTGGACTATCTGGTGGGCCCAAAGTAATTGCAAGGGTCCTTTACAAGATAGAGGCACAGAATTAGGGTTAGAGAAAGAAAGCATGTGACAACAGAAACAGAGGGAGTGAAATCTGACTGCACGATGCATGGTTATGAGCTGAGGAATGTAGGTGGCCTCTCTGGTGTTGCTCAGTCACTCAGTCATGTCCGGTTCCTTGAGACCTGTGGGCTTCAGCATGCCAGGCTTCCCTGTCCTTCACTGTTTCCCGGAGTTTGCTCACTCATGTCCATTGAGTCAATGATACCATCCAACCATCTAATCTACTGTCATCCCCTTCTCCTCCTGCCCTCAATCTTTCCCAGCATCAGGGTCTTTTCCAATGAGTCAGCTCTTCGCATCAGGTGGCCAAAGTATTGGAGTTTCAGCTTCAACATCAGTCCTTCCAATGAAAAGGCAAGGTAACATATTTTCCCCTAGAGAAAGCCTCTAGAAATAATGTAGCCCTGCTCATCTTAATTGAACTACTGATCTCCAGAACTGTAAGATGATAAATTTGTTCTAAGTCACTAAATCTGTGGTAATTTGTTATAAAAGTGACGGAAACCTACACACTACAAGGTTACTACAAGGTCACCTTAAGGTGATGCCTTACTAGTTTACCAGAAATCAAGACTATTAATAAAACTAATAGCAGCTATTTATTGAACATTTCTTTTGTCCTAGGACCATACTAAGCCCTTTATGTATGAAATCTTATGCAGTCCTAGAACAATGTTTGAAGTGGGTATGCGTGTATTTAGAGACAGACAAACGGAGGTTCAGAGAGGTTAAGCAACTTGTCTAAAGTCACATAACCAACCAGAATGTTTAGAGGTGGGAGCTGAACCCAGTTATCACTCCCAAATTTTCTGTTCAACCCCATTGCCAGATTTTATATAAACGTGGGTTTGTTCCCATCCTTTAACGTGCATTATGTTTGTATGTGTCAACACAGGAGTCGGAGCTTGGCCAGCCAGAGGACGACATCCACATCTGGGGCGTGTAAGATGGAGGAGGCCAAGCCAACTCGACAAGTCTCAGGTGGCTCAGCTAGGCACCGGCGATAGATCGAAGGCTACAGAAAAGTGGATGAGCCAAAGAAAGCGCCAGACACTGAACGTCGAAGAGCCCTTGTTTCTCGTTTGCCTGGATCCTGGGCGAATTCTCTAGCCTCGGGGCGGTGCGGGTGTCAGCGGACAACGACAGAGGGAGGTGCCCCCGCCGGGTATCCAGTAGCAACTGCCAGGCGAGGGGGCGCGGGCGGCGTTCCGCGGGAAGAGTGGGCGTTCCTCTCCACCCGTCCGCACCGCCTCTTGTTTTGAAGGCTCGCGTGGTCCCGCGTCATTGGCCGCCGTGGAGCCCAGGCTTCGGGGAGGCGGAGCGGTTCCGCAGCTGTAGCTCTCCAGTTACCCCCTCCGCCGGCCCCGCCTTCCGACTGCCGGCGCCCACCGGGCCGCACTGGACCACAATTCCCACAAGGCCTCGCGCCCAGAGTGGGCGTGGCCGGGCGCAGGGGAAGCCGGGGGCGGGGCCGCCTGGGGGATGAAGTGGGGGCGCTCGGCTCTTCAACCTCACTCACAGCTGCCGGGCGCCGGGGAGAGCGTCCTCCGCCTCTGGACCGGCGTGCTGACCTCTGACCCTGGAGTCTCTCGGCCGCCGGGAACCGTCCCCTTGGGTCGTCGCCCCGGCNAGAGTCCCTCGCCTCTCCTCTTCCTCAGGACCGTTGTATCTTTACCCAGCTTGTACTCCGTCTGCTGAGTGGCATCGCCAGGTGAGCTCAGGTACGAGAGGGGGGTTCGTGTCTGACCTTGTGGCTCCCTCAGCAGTGAGTGATGGCCGATAAATTAGAGTCTGGGGGTTCTTTGTGAGGCGTACCTTACAGAAGGGTTCTCAATGTGCTAGAAACCAGAGTTAGCTTCCCAGGGTCTTTTGCCTTAATAAAAGCTGCTTTTTTAATACAGTAGAATTTGAATAAGCTTCTGCCAGGTGCTGTCTAGTCTGCACCTGCTGCAGAGTGGCAGAACTGCTAAGAGCTAAAAAACAAAACAAGAAAAGGTATCTCAGGTGGCCGGATGATGACTGGAGACATGGTTTGAAGCAATTAGTGCTGATGGTTAAGTCAAATTGAAGGTAACTATGACGGTAACAGAGCAAACATGTTTTTCTGACTATATTCAGACACTTTTTTTTCATGACCCTATGGTGTTCTGAACTCCAGAATACCTGAATACTCAGTTTCTGTCCCTGTGTGAATATTTTCTAAATGAATAATAAAAATAAAAGGGGCAGACTTTTAGTCTGAGAGGGCGCGGTGTTAAAAATGCAGATTCTCTGGGCCCACTACCAACTGTTCTGATTTAGTGGATCTGGATGTGATCCAGGAATCAGCATTTTAAACCAGGCCTGCAAGTAACTAATGTAGTTATCCTTTTAGCTATGTTACAACACCACTTGGAAACACTTGAAATAGATAATGGCAATCTACCAGACTTACAAAACGTATATTTTCTAAATTATCTTTGATAAAATTATTTTCTAGTTATTACTGGGCTATTTCTTTTTGAATAGAATTTACATTTAGATTTTTTTCTAAAAATTATTTTTTCTCGTTTTCTTTTTAGATAGTATATTTTAATTGTATACTCTCTCACCAATTTAGAAGCTTCATTTTAGGTTCCTATCACAAATTATGTGTATTAATGTTTTATAATTGCATGTGTACTTTAACTGTTATTATATCTAAATGAATATATATGATTTAAATTTCATTATGTCCAAATGAATGTATGTAGTTCAACAGTTAAGGATTTGTGCACAAGGTAGGATGTGCCAAAGAGGCCTCAAAATTGAATACATATGGTTTTTGTTTCCAGTGGTACTTTCTCATATAGTGTTCAATCATATTTTATACTTTAATCTGTAACATGTTTAAAAATACATTGTCTCATTTCATTTGACACATCTTTCCGACAGTGAGGTAACTGACATTCAAAGAGCTTACATGATTAATATCGCACACGTTAAGTAAGTGAAGGAGAGTATCTTTCCGGTCTATACCGTTGCATCTCAGTATGCTTGCTTCTTTGTGGTATAGAAATAAAGTAGAGGGAGACCCAGGAAAATAAAAAGGTAGAACTAAGCCAGTTCTTTCTCTTCTCCTTCATTCACTAACTTGGAAGAAAACCAGTAAAAAATAAAGGAAAAAATTAATTTTTTGAAGACTACTTCTGTTCACAGGTAGGCATTTGTACAACATATACCCCAAGTTCTTGTAAATGAAATGCAAGTGTGCTTTGTACTGTATTTGAATGAACTTTTTGGCCAACCTTGAGTATGATAAAACACTAGAAACTTAAATCGTAGTGCATACAAATGATGTAACAAGTTAATCTTCCCATAAAGAAGTAACTTCAGATACATTTTAAATGTTTTCTAAATGCATTTCTGAGCTGGCATGGAATCAAGGAATATATGAAGCCTCCCCCAACCCCCAAAATGGAAAGCCAGAACTTTAAGACTCAGTGCTGCTTCAGTGCCATTACCCTGACAACTTCCCCTAAACTCTGAAGACCTTGAGCTTCTACTCTGACAAACAGCATGGAGTGGCGTAAACAAGAAATAAAACCCACATCTGCCCAAACAGAGGGAAGTAAAAGGGGCCCTCACCGTAAGCTTGGGTTCCAAAGAGCTAAATCTTAAATATAAGGAGAAATGAAATCCACCACAAGTAAGGGGAAAATGAACAGACTTGTTAGGGGAAGGGGTGAAGGGGAAGCTGCCTTGAGAATTTGTAACCATGAGCTGTCCTTATACAGGTCAAAATCATTCTACCTGTGCTGGGAAAATCTTCAAGTGAAAAATTTAATTTATAGCAATCTCAGGTTGGTGTGCCTGGAAAATCCCATGGACGGAGGAGCCTGGTAGACTGCAGTCTGTGGGGTTGCTAAGAGTCGGACACGACTGAGTGCCTTCACTTTCACTTTTCACTTTCATGAATTGGAGAAGGAAATAGCAACCCACTCCAGTGTTCTTGCCTGAAGAATCCCAGGGATAGAGGAGCCTGGTGGGGTCTGTGGGGTCGCACAGAGTCAGACACGACTAAAGCGTAAGACGTAGCAGCCCCAGCAGCAGGTTGGTGTGCTCTGAAGTTACAGGTAAAAACAAATATCCATCCTCTCTGGAGGGCTTCCCTGGTGGCTCAGTGGTAAAGAATCCGCCTGCCAATAAAGGAGATGTAGGAGACATGGGTTCATCCCTGGGACAGGAAGATCCCCTGGAGAAGGAAATGGCCACACTCCAGTATTCTGATCTGGGAAATTCCATGACCGAGGAACCTGGCGGTCTACAGTCGATGGGGTTGCAAAAGAGTCAGACATGACTTAGTGATTAAACTATCACCATCTCCTCTGGAGAAATTCATTGTCTACCCAAGCCTTAAAGAATTTTGGAAGATAGAGTGTCAAGAAAAATAAGCTAATAGTAAAAAATCACAGAATACACAAAGGCAACATGAATGAGATATTTAGAAATATAGATTATAGAAATAGGTCTATAATAAGTGTAGATTTTTTTCAAATCAGGTATTATTTAAAATCACCATGTTTAAATGGGGCTTCCCTGGTGGCCCAGACAGTAAAGAATCTGCCTGCAATGAGGGAGACCTGGGTTCAATCCCTAGGTCATGAAGATCCCCTGGAGAAGGGAACAGTTATCCACTCAAGTATTTTTTCCTAGAGAATTCCATGGACAGAGGAGTCTGGTGGGCTATAGTCTAGTTCAGTCACTCAGTTGTGTCTGACTCTTTGCCACCCCATGGACTGCAGCACACCAGGCTTCCCTGTCCATCACCAACTTCCAGAGTGTGCTTAAACTCTAATCAGTGATGCCATCCANGTGCTTCATCCAGCTCAGCATTCCATGGGGTCACAAAGAATCAGACAGGAGTGAGCAACTAACACTTTCACATATTTAAATATAAAGACTTAAAAGTATGAAAACAAGAAATTTTGAAAAATGACCCCAAAGTTTAAAACATAATGAAATAGAAGTTTTAGAAATCAAATTAACAACTCGATGGATGAAGTGGTTGATTATGTCAGCAGAAAAAAATGATTATTGAATTGAAAAACCATTTTATGTCCTTTTTTTCCTACTTAATCTCCCAATACCTCCTTTTCCATCCTAACTCTTAGCTTCATACTTTACTAAATTGGGATAATCAGAATAATCCACATCTGTCCACCTACTAGTCTCTGACCCACATATTTTGACTTCTGTAGATTATCATAGATAAACTGTTTGTACTCTTATCAGAGACCAATCCCTCCACTTGGATTTTGGTCCCATTCCTTCTTTCCAATTCAAGGACATGGCTCCAGAAAATTTTCCCTTTCTCTTCTGGTTCATTGATTTTTTTTAATTTTTTTAACCTTCTCTAATGGACTGTTGTTGCTAAGTCGTGTCTGACTCTCTTTGTGATCCCGTGGGCTATATAGCCCACCAGACTCCTCTGTCCATGGGATTTCTCAGGCAAGAATACTGGAGTGGATTGCCATTTCCTTCTCCAGGGGATCTTCCCAATTCAGGTATCAAACCTGAGTCTCCTGTATTGGCAGGTGGATTCTTTACCACTGAGCCTGTTACTGTCATCATAAAACATGCTGTTAATTCTACTATTTTAAAGTTCTCTCTTGACCCACCCATCTATTATGACTCCGCTTAGTTTTTATCTTTTCTACAGAAAAACCCCTCAAAAGAGTTTTCTTTATCTTTCCTATTCTGATCATTCACCCCATTTCAGTGTGACTTTTGCCTCTACCACTTCTCCACAATGGGTCTTGTCAAAATCACTAATGTCTTTCTTGCTGCTAAAGCCAATTTTTTGCTAAAGCTAAGATTTTAAAACTATTTGCAGACTTTTTTCATAGCTCATCACTCACAGTCTTTGACATACTTTTTTTTTTTACTTCCAAGATAGTATATTTTTCTGATTTCTTTCCTTTCTACAGGCCAGTCTTTCTTAGAATCCCTTGCATTTCATCCTCTGCCCCGACTCCTAATTGTTTGAACCTCAAGGTTCGGATCTTATACTCTCTTCTCTCCACCTTGGCCATCTCATTTAGTCTCTTGGCTTTAAATACCATCTATATGGTATTTAGTATCTATATCTCAGAATCTCCAGACTAGGATTCTCAGCTCTAGATCCGTATATCGAACTACTTTTTCAGTGTTTCCACTTGGAGAGTTAGTAGGTATCACAAATTTGATGTATCAAGAACTAAATTCCTGACCTTTCCCCCTCAAATCTATTCTGTCTCCTCCCTGTTAAAATGCTGTAGCTGCACTGACCTCCTTGCTGTCCCTCAAAGATGGCAAATATGCTCTTGGACCTGCAGTTTCCTCTGCGTAGCTAACACACTTCTCATGTATTCAGATGATTCACTCGCTCACTTTCTTAGGTTTCTGCTTAAGTGTCACCTTACCTGCCAGTGCTCACTTACCTAAATTGTCACCTTCCATGATCATACAATGTGAAAGAGAAACCCTTCATCCTCACCTTGTACTACTCCATATTCCTCTAGCCTCTGATTTAAAACTTTTCGGTGGTTTCCTGTGTAACCCAGTGTGGCATAATACGAAAACGTGCTTGCTGTTTGTCCCCTGTTGTTGGCACAGAGCTCCTGAAACCTTGGAATTTCCTGAGAAATAGGAATGCTCCTTTCAGTCATACCTGAGTTTATGCTGTTGAGGCGACTTAGGTGGGAATCCCTA